CAGTGACAGTATTACGCCACGCTTGTTTCTGGCCGTGGCCCTGCAGACGGTTGACCAGTTGATGGAGAAGCAAAGTACGTTGTTCAGCACCGAGCAGATCCAGTTGTTGAGTCACGATGTTCATCCGACCGTGAGAGTGGACTTTGAAGGCGCCACCAAGTACAAGGATTTCTACGAAGCTGATGTCGAGCCAGATCGAGTTAATTGGGCTAGGCATACCTTGCTGATGTTGGCTGAGGACGGTGAGCTGGAGGGTCCGTTAATCGCTCCGTTGAAGACGTCGGTGGGGAGCATGTGCCAGTTGCGCGACGCTCTGTTGGAGTCGTACAAAACGCTTGAGCCCTCTGGCGACTACAAGTCACTCTTCTGGAAGGGGGTCTGTCGGCCTATGCTTTGGGCGGACGCCGAGGGCCGGCTGATCGCGGCGTCCGCCGCCGTGGCGAATACGAGAGGTTACGTGTGCTCTCGGTGCGAATCAGGTCCGGTCGTGAGCCTGCCCGCGTGGAACAGTGTGATCAACACCGCAATGAAAGACGGGTATGGCTGGCGTGGCATACCCTGGCGTGGTTTCGTGCCTGAGGACCTCCGACTCCCCCTCAAGGAATGGGTAGCAGGCGGCGGAGCATTCACACCAAGGGGACAGTGGCCGACAGGGAATGATATGCGGTTCGTCTGGCCTCAGGAGATCGAACACGCCAAGGGGCGCATCCAGACTGAAGCCAAGAAGCAAGGCGTGAAGTGTGACGAGTACCCGTGGGAGGCAACGTTTATGCCGCGTGGTGAATCTATTAGGTCTAGCGGTGACAGGGCAAAGGACATCATTTATATGACCATGCCTAATTACCTTGGAGTCTGGCGCGTCGCTAACCTCGGCGACCTAATAAAGTCCCACCGTTTCTCGTTAAGCGTCATCCACGGGCTCGAGGCGGATGCCACCCAGCTAATCTCCAGCTCGAAAGAACACAGGCCCCCTGTCAAGAGGGATTACTACATCGGCAGCTACGCACAAACCTACGTTGTGTTAGAAGGCGATGGCAGTACCGGAAGATCCAGGCTGCGCCTTGCTACTGTCCCCTACTGCCTCATCGCGAAAGACGCGAAGGACGCCTCGGCTCGACAAAAGGCCTTCTGGGAGCAAGTAAAAATTGATGCAGGCTGTGCCGTGTCCAAGTATGCGCGATGACGGCCACAGTCCATCAAATTTACGGCCGACCCGCTCAGAGATGAAACCCGTTTTACATTAATGACAGAACACTGAACGGTAAAGTAGTAAACATCTTTGGGCTGTACAGTTTTCAGCTCGAACTGGCTGCAGTTAATCTGTTTCAGCTCGGATCTCCAACTGACGCGTTTCTCCCACTGAGAGTTGATGCCGTTGTGACATTCCGGGCGGTTGTGCATAAAAACAAACGGGGTGTCACAACGGCATCAACTATTTGCCTTATTACTGTTCCGGGTGTTCACCCAGGGTGGCCGGTTCATCCGACCGTGACCAATTCGAAGGCGCCGCCAAGTACATGGATTTCAAGAAGGCTGCTGACGAGCCAGATCGAGTTGATTTTGCTAGGCAAACCTTGCTGAGGATGGTGAGCTGGACGGTCCGGCAGTCGTGGGACTTCCTTAAGCGACTTTGTTGCTCAGCACCGTCGACTTCCCTCGAAGAATGGGTCGCAGGCGATGGCGCCTTCAATCCCGATGGCGATTGGCCCGGATGCAGGTTGGGAAGTAGGTTCTGGACAAGGCGTCCGATCCTCGACCACAACCCTCTTAGGAATGCACAACCCTCTTGTAAAAGTTCTCCATCCACTCTCTCCTTTCACTCTCTCCTTTCACTCTCTCCTTTCACTCTCTCCTTTCACTCTCTCCTTTCACTCTCTCCTACCTACCAGTAGCCGATACGCGGATCCAGTAGCTAGCGCACACCATGATAGTCAGAAACGCGCTCAATTCGACTGCGGAAACTGATTTCACTAACATGCGGCACCCGCCAACGGTGCACTGACCCAAGATGCTGACATCGGGGAGCACCCACCACGAAGGCGTAAAGGCGAGGCAAAGAGCCGCCAACGCCGCAAAGAAGATCACCGACACGGCGGTGCATAACGAAAAGGCACACAAGTCTCCTTTCAGTCCTAGCGAGGACGGGAACCTCGCGAAACATCGGCGCGTGTGAATGGGAATACTGTCGAAGCGTTAA